TCAGCAGGGCAGCGACGGCCCTGAAGCCCCTGCCTGGGCGCCCCCCCCCCCCCCCCCCCCCCCCCCCCCCCTCGCAACTTTGACCCCGGGGCCGGGCAGACGCAGGCAGTGGTCACTCGGGAAAGGGAAAACGCAGGTTCCTGGTGCTCGGCGAACAAGGGAAGCAGCCCTCTCTGGGTGGCAGTTCTCAGGCAATTTAAAGCAGAAGCCTGCAGGCACCGCGGCGTCGGCTGGGCTCTGTTTCTCCGGGGCGCCGAAAAGTTGTGCGACTTCTTCCAGCCGGGGGCGTTGTCAGGTTGAGCTCAACATTTGCTGTGCCCGTGGCCATTTCAAATTCTTTCCCGTCGCGCTCCGACATATTTGAGGCTGCTGGCTTGCAATTGGTAGGTCTCCATCGGGCGCGATCCATCCGTGCGTCTCCATCCTTGCTGGGTGCGCGCAGAGCGTGGCTCGGTCGACCGCGTATTTTTGGCATGCTGGATGACGTGTGCGGGCGGCGCCCTCCTCCCAGAAACCCGATCGGGATTTGGGTGGGTGACTTGGCGCAGCTGAACATCGGGGGCCAAGGTGTAATATTGAGCCAGGCCGCGGAGGTAGCCGCGCCGCTGGTGAACCATATGCAGGGCGAGGGGTTGAGGATCTCAAAGAAGTTGGTAGCCTTGACGAGTGCGCTACGTCTGCGAGCTGACCTTCGGCGCAAAATCGCGGAACTGAGCCTGCCCGCCAGGGCGGGGGTCGAGGCCGGGGGCCAGGCCCCCGGCCCTGGGCCCAGGCCCTGGGCATCGGCGCCAACGGCGAAGCTAGGGCAAAAGGGGTAATCAACGCGAGGTGAGTGAGAAAAGATTCCACGAGAGCCACGGCCATTCGTTTTTTCCCGTGGAGTTTCCAATGGGCCAAGAAGCCTGCTAGGACTGGGCGCAAACCTGAGGTCTCTTGAGGGGCCGCTGCCATGGGCCTCGCGCCCGCGACCTCGAGGCAGAACAGAGGCCGAGTTTTATTTATTAGTGGCAGTGAATGCGCAGGGGCTGTGCCGCGACTGCCATCTGGATTGGCTTAGCCAAGTTTAGTGGGCCCCTTTTTTCGGGGCCCTTGGAACCCCCGTTGTCCTTGCAGGAACACCTCCCTGGGATGTTTCGCTGGCGAGGGGCTATCGGCGTTGCCCGGCAGGAATCTTTGAAGTGGCTGCAGACCGTCGAGATCCGATGGCTGCGCATTCGAGGACACCGCGCAGCAGTTCAGGCCACCTCGTTAGATTTAAGCGCGCCCCGAATTTCCTAGGGAACGGGCCATGCCGCATGGGGATCACTCAACTTTGAAGGCCCTGAAGGGCCAGATCTCATACAATTCGTGGTCGGGCCCGCCCTGGGGCAGAGGTTACGAGCCCAATCCAGCAAGCATTTTGAGGGTGCGGGGTCTGATGTTGGCCCTGACGTCACTGCGACATGGGCCCATCTCGACAGCTTGCGCAAGATGGGATTACATCGCCTTGCGGCCATCTCGAAAATAATAAGCCAGGGGGCCGTGTGGCCCGCCAAGCGTATGCAGGAACATAAGGAGATGGGCAGCCCTGTATGCCCCCGGCGTGGAGCGGCCGAGGAAAGCCTGTTTCGTTCATTTTGGTGATGCCCCTGTGATGCCTCTGTGCCTGGCCTCGCTGGAGATTCCGAGCTTGTGCGAGCAAGCGAAGATGCGGCCGCAGTCGTTCCCCCGTTTCTGGCTGCGCGGTATGGCGCCGACTCTCTGGGCCGTGGCAGGGGCTGATCTTCCGTGCCCCACGGAAGGCGCCAAGTTTGACATGCGATGGCCCAGTGCAGACCGATTTAGACCCCCCCAGACATTGCCATCGGATCTGACGGGTCAGGAGGTGGGCGTTCGAGGGGCGGCCGACTCAGACGAGCGGGGTAAGCGTCCGCCGCCTGCGTCGAGGAGCAAGTCGCGGCGCCCCTGCGGGGAAGTGCAGCTGGCCCTCGGCCCCCCGAGCCGAACTCTTACTGTAATCATAGCTCTGCCGCACGCCGCTGGAGATGCCACTGTAGTGGTTGATGCTAGTTACGTGACCAAAGGCAGCATCCTACAGGGTGCCGAGGCCACGCGCGTCTCGAATGATGGCCTGTGCGTCGAGTTTTGGAAGGCCACGCCAGAGTATGACGGCACCTTTGTGTTTGAGAAAGCCACGAGCCACTTAGAGGAGGCTGAGGTAGGACATTCGATCGAATCGGAGCACTGGCATGCCAACCAAAAAGCATATGCTCTCGTGGAGATCGCGGCGCAGGAGGCGGCCGCCCCGTTTTTTTTTTTTTTTTTTTTTTTTTTTTTTTTTTTTTTTTTTTTTTTTTTTTTTTTTTTTTTTTTTTTTTTTTTTTTTTAAAAAAAAAAAAAAAAAAAAAAAAGGAAACAGATAAGCCGGCCTGGGGGGTACAGAGGCTCGGCTGGATGGCGATGGGGGGATCAGGACATGGGGGGATGAGTATCCGGTACCGTTTTGTTGGGGTACAATTTGTACCTTCTCTGCGGGTTGCAAGTACAAATTGTACCTTCTCCCCCCCCGTTAACATCCTCGCACATGTCGCGGACGTTGTCAAAAGTACAATTTGTACCTTGTCTGCGTGGCGTCGGTACAAATTGTACCTTCTCCGTGGGGCGTAGGTACAATTTGTACCTCGGTTGCGCCTCTCTCCCCATCTGGACTTATCCCCCCATTTGCATCCCGCCAAGAGGCGTCTCGTGTGAACAGGCCTAGGAGTGGTCTAGTTAACCAAGGGTTTATACAGCAGGACCGTGACAAAAAAACGACCTGGCCGCCAGGACCAACGCGAATGCCAAGGCTGAGGCCGAGGCCAGGTATGTTGCGAGCAGGGAAACCTCCCATCTTGTGGAAAAGTCCGACAAAGGGTTTCAGTGTCCAGCGTGCCTTGGAGTAAGTCGCAAAGCAGGCTTGGTTGACTTTTGCAGGAAGGAGTGCCAGGAACGACCCTTCCAAATCCACAGCGCTCACAACATAGAGAACTATCGAGGTTTATGGTTCTGCAAGGCCTGCGCGGCCACAGGGTGTTTCACGTTTCCTTCGTTTGGCTCGTCCGTGTGCCCCTGGACTTTCGAAGGAAGGCGAGCTCACGCTGAGCAACATTGACGAGGGCTAGAAGCCCAAACGAGTCAAGGAATGGCCAGACGCAAGCAAGAGTTGAAGGCGCCGCCGCCTTGCCCATTTCCCGACGGCCCTGCCGACGACTGCCCGCGGGGTTCGTTGGTCAGGTTGGCAGGAGACGGGGTGGTGGCGCCTCCGATCCCAGGATGAGGCCACCTTTCTTTCAGTTTTGTATTTCGGCAACCGTGTTCGCAAGGACGAGGAAAAGTTCCAGGGGTCAGGGGCGAGTTGCGCGCGCCGGGACTCCCCTTTTGATAGCGTGGGAGGTTAACCTCGTGGGCCGCCTCAGGCTGCGTTGCAGGGGGAGGAAGAGGAGGAGGGAGAGGAGGAGGGGGAGGAGGAAGAGGAGGAGGAGGGAGGGGAGGGGGATGATGAGAAAGAGGATGGGGAGGTGTGAGGAAGTGGTTCAGGATGAGGAGCAGCAGACGGGGGGAGGAAGAAGTCGGTGACGACGACGACCACGGCGACGACATGATTTTACCCGCCAGGCCTTTACGGACCTTTCGCTTTGAATGCTTCTCGGAGCTACATTTGAATCTTTATATATTTGGAGACCTTTGATGCCCTCCGGAGGCTCTCTTGGGGCCCTCTTGGAGTCTTCCTGGCAGCCTCGGGGGCGTTCTGAGATTTTGAATGACATCGTTCAGAATAGAGGGGGGACGTCTTTAATCAGCCTCGCACTTCTGGAGAGAGACTGCAGAGAGAAGTCTTGCCTCTTGGGCCATCTTCGGGCGCTCCTGGGCGCTTTTGGGGCCATGCGTGGTCCGCCCGCCCAGTCTCCACAGAACCGATGCTGCGGCAGATTGGGTGCGTGGCGCATGTCCCCGGAGCCGTTCTGGGGTGCAAGGGCGCCCTGACATGGCTGTGGCCGCGCTGCCTGCAGCTGTTCTTTTTCCTGCGTGCTTATATCTCTTCCACTGCTATAGTGCCTTACTCGATACCCGCCAGCGTGGGCCCCAAAGAGTGTGTTCTTGCATTGTGGAGGTGGCAGCTGTGCGGAGTAAGCTATGTGGTGAAGGCTCTGTTGTGTACTCCTATGCGGTGTGAGCTCATTGCACGCTATGCTGTGCAACTTCCGCCGCGTAAGCTGGGCGGCGTGAGCTGGAGATGGAAGTCTCTGAGGTGAAAGCTCCGTGCTGCCGTGGAGCTATGCCGCGTCATCTCTGCGGTGCGCGCTGTGTGGTGGTGCCCCGGCGTGCGCCGTGGAGCTCCCTCCGCGCACGGGGCGCCCACGGGGCGCCCACGAGGCGGCCGCGGGGCGGCAGCGTGGCGCAGCCTCGGCAGCCCCGCCCGGCGCACGGGGGGCGCCCCCCGGGGCGCCCCCCCGGGCGGCACGGGCCGCAGCGCTGCGAGACCTCGGCGGGCCCATCCCCAGGGCATCGCGAGAGGCCGAAGCGCGAGCCCCTCGGTGCAGGCACCGGGTCGGGCCTGTCCCTCTGCAGGAGGAGTCGTCAGCAGCAGGCAACAAGACTTGGTCTGGGGTCGATGTTTGGGAGATTGTTGACTATTTCTGGGCCTTTGTTGGCTACGTTTGATTTTTCCTCCCAACTCCGCCTGTAGGGGGACATGCCCGACCTGATAGTAAAGAGGCCGAAGTACGAACCACTGAGTGCAAGCACTGTTTGGGGATTGAGAGAGTTCTTGTGCTGTGGCCTGGTGGTGGGCGTTCCGTCGGGATGGGTGCTGGGCGGTGCGCGAGCGCGTACGCGTGTGGGAATCAGCATGTCGTGGCGGTGCATGATCAAAAACAGGGTCTGCAGAAGGGTGGCATAGCGGCCAGCTGCGGGAGGCCGGTATGCTGAAGAGGCGGGCAGTCGGAGTAGACATATTCTTCTTGCATCGCTTCCTACCCCAGGGGTCTTTGGGGCACGTCACCTTTGTCTGGTAGCAGACGCTTCGCTGACCGAGGCGGCGCCTTTACTGCCCGTGCTATACTCTTGCCTTCCCTGCTGTGCTTGTACTGCGCCTGTTTGATATGTAATTGATTGCTATACAAGGATTTGCTTCAGGCATTTCGTCGGTTTCAGATGTGGCGTTTTTCTTCGATCGGCGTTCTCGGAGCATTGTTGCGCTCGTCTCTCGCACTCGAGCCGAACCCTTTCGAATTTGTGTCATTTTCGATGTTCCACTGTCCACAGCTGATGTGGGCATTCTGTGTGATGGATATCCTGGTCGACTTGATATCGTACCGAGGGGTAATAAGCTTAGAAAGAGCGTGTTCTACCGCTGCTGGCGGAAAACCGTGGGGGGTCACTACCGGTTCGAACCCCTCCCCCCCCCCCCCCGCCCTCCTCTCCAGAAAACTGGGGGGGGATCACTACCGGTTCGAACCCCCCCCCCAGCTCATTATGAAAACTGAGGGGGGGGTCACTACCGGTTCGACCCCCCCCCCCCTTCGAAAACCGGGGGGGGGTCACTACCGGTTCGAGTGGTGGGGACAGTGGTGAGGGGACAGCGGGACAGTGGTGGGGACAGTGGGACAGTGGTGGGGACGGTAGTGGTGGGGACAGTGGTGAGGACAATGGTGGGAACAGTGGGGACAGTGGACTGGTGGGACGGTGGTGGTGGGGACAGTGGTGTGGGGACAGTGGGGATGAGGTGGAAACAGTGGGACAGTGGAGGGTACAGTGGTGGTGTGGACAGTGGTGAAGGCGGTGGCGAGGACAGCGGTGGGACAACGGGACAGAGGTACAGTGGGGACAGTGGTGGGGACAGTGGGGACAGTGGTGGGAACAGTGGGATAGCTTAGTGGGACAGCGGAGGAGTCAGTGGGACAGTGGGGACAGTGGGGATAGTCGGGGAGTGGTTGGGGCCGTGGAGAAAGTGGGGAGAGTGGAACCGTGGTGGTGGGGACAGTGGGACAGTGCGACAGTGGTGGGGGCACTGGTGGGGACAGTAGGGACGGTGGTGGAACCAGTGGGGACAGTGGTGGTGAGGACAGTGGTGCTGGGAACAACAGTGGGGGATGTGGATGCGGACGGTGGTAGGGACCGGGAGTCGTTTGCTGGCGGTGAGTGGGGGGGGGGAGGGGTTCGAACCGGTAGTGACCCCCCCTCCGGTTTTCGAGGGGGGGGGGTTCGAATCGGTAGTGACCCCCCCCCCGGTTTTCGAGGGGAAGGGGGGAGGGGAGGGGGGTTAGGGGAGGGGGGGGGGGGGTTTTCGGAGGGGGGGGGGTCCAGCAGGGGGGGGGGGGTCCCAGCAGGGGGGGGGAGGGGAGGGGGGGGGGGGTCCAGCAGGGGAGGGGTTTTCGGAGGGGGGGGGGGGGACCCCCGGGTTCTGGAGGAAGAGGGGGGCAATTTTCCATAGTAAAGCGGCGGTGGATCACGCTCTCTGTAAGCTTAGGAAGGAAGTGCATTTCCTTACATCTGCTCCGACCCTTCTTCCACACAGGTTTCTGCGTAGATCTGGATGGTGAATTTCGCAGTGGACTGATGTTCGCGTGTGACTACTCGTATCGTTCCCAGGTGATCTGGAATTGTTTTCTTTCTCGAATATCCGGCCTTATATTTGCGCGTTCAGCGGTGGCTGCACGTACACGTTGTAACTTCTGATGCGCGATTTTGATCTTGAATTTGTCCAGAGAGCCCCAGGAGCATAATCATATGTTCTACATCTAACTTGGACACGTCTAGATTATGATTGAGTTCGCGCGCTGGGTTTTGAGATATCTCGCTGTAGTTTGTGATCCTCGTCAGGGCTCGCAGAATGAAGCCAGCCCTCCGCAGAGAAGTCACTACCCATGGCATGTCCACATGTATTTGCCCTTGGCCTGTCCCGTGCTTGGCCTGTGGACAAAGCTACTTCAGGCCCCGTGCACAACCTGCAGCACGAGCGGGCTCCGCTAGATGCCGTACTCAGGGCACGTGCGATGCCCGCCCGCTTTCTGCGGACAACAATCAACGCGAGGAGCACATGAAATGTTGTCCGCGGCTCCTGGGGCCAGTTCGGGTTCCCCCCGAGGAGCTGGAAACCTTTAGAAGCACATGCCGTTTCAACGTGTTCTGACTTCGGGAAAAGAGATGCGAGACATTCCAAGAGCGCCTGAGGGCCCCTTCGTAGCCATTTTGGCTCAAGAAGCCCCCTGCCCAGCTCGAGAGTGTTCCTTTTCAGCTGGGGCCATAAGCACACTACTTGCGGACCACCTCGCGCCAACATAAATCTCCGAAGGTGGGGCAGGCGCCTTCGCAGAGCTCGTGACGGCAGGGCGCCGCTGCGTTCTCCTTGAACATGTGTTGCTTTATTTTGTCGCTTGGAGTTATCCCTCGAGCAAGGTGCGTCAACAACAAAAGCGCCTGAGCGCCCAGGAATTCTGTGGCTTTGGGCTCTGAGCCGTTCTGAGCATGTGTTTCACTGCACTCAATGCAGAGACTTCGAAGGGATCCGACCTGAAGATACACAGTCTCGTGCCTCAGGGCCCAGTGGCAGACATTTCATTGACAGGGCTTGGCGCTGCTGTCGGCCTTCCAATCTGTTGCTTGAGATCCTCTTTGGATCGGGTCTTCTTGGGGCTGGCCAAGCGGGGGGTGATGACTGGGGTGGGTCGGTATCATGGCTGGGGCCATGACATCTCCCAGATTCGTGGCCCCCTCTTCTTATTTAAATGCGCCCCGTGGTCCCCCCCCCTCCGCCCCCCCTGGTCGCGCACATGCCTCTGGCTATGACTTGCGACCCCCCCTCTTGGACGCCCCCCTCCCCCTGGGCGCTCCCGGTCTTCGCATATCGGTTTCAGCCGAGAGCCTGAGGCGCTCCGGTCGATGCGGCAGCAGGGGCGGCGCGGCGGCACGGCGATCCGATAGCGGCGGCGGCGGCAGCGCTTCGTATCTTCGACACAGGCACAGACACACAGACACACAGACACACGGACACACGGACACACGGACGCAGACACGCAAGCACGCACACGCGCACACACGCACACACGCACGCACTTTTTGCGTCGGCGGCTGGGCAGAGGGCGACTGCTCCAGCGGATTGGCAACAGGGGACACGCTGTATGCAAATTAAAACACACGCACACACGCACGCACGCACGCATGACCGCACGCCCGCACACCACGCACACCACGCACACCACCCACGCACCCACACCCACACACCCACACACCCACACACCCACACACCCACACACCCACACACCCACACACCCACGTACCCACGCACACGCACACGCACACGCACACGCACACGCACACGCTCACGCACACGCACACGCACACGCGCACGCGCACGCGCACGCGCACGCGCACGCGCATACACACGCACACGCGCACGCGCACGCGCACGCGGACAAACGCACGCACACACACAGAGTCACACACAGAGTCACACACAGACACGCACACACACAGACACATACAGACACACATACACACATTCACACACATGCGCACATTCACACACATTTACACAGACATACACGCATTTACACATTCACACACATTCACACACATTCACACATATTCACACACATTCACACACACACACACCCACGCAGTCTGGGGAATAAAGACATACCTGGTGTTTTTTTCACAGATTCAGAATTTTTTATCCACAGGTTCTGTGTTTTTTCCACAGACTG